GTGATCTCAATATCACCTACTCGCTCGTAACGGAATTATCCCTCGTTGTAGCACACGAGTTAACGGAATTATCCCTCGCTTAACGAGTGTTAGTAAATAGAGCTCGCACTATGGATTCCTTGCTATTATCCAATCCACTCAATTCGGTTACAAACCATGTCAATTCAAGACTCAATGATTTTTTTCTCAATTTATTTCCACCCCCAATGCACATGATGCACGTGATGATATGTTTAATCACATTCAACAAAACTCGGGTACCAACCCTTCTTTCTCAAGCCATACTCACGGCCTAACCATCACTCGGGATTCACTCGACGCTTACATACCAATCATGGTACTCATAGCGGGAACACAACCTCCGCTCATTAATATTGTTTATTAGTTTCATTAATAATTAAAGAAGGTCCAATCCTTTTTTTTTTCCTCTATGAAAGAATAAATTTTCTTTAAAATTTTAAAATCCTTTTTATTTCTATTTAAGTCCACTTATTTTAGCCTAAGCCCATTTTCGTTAGTCTAAGCCCATCTACTTTAAAACCAAGCCTTTTGATTTTAGTCCAAGTCTATTTCCAAGTTTATTTTATTTAAGTCCAAGCCCATTAACATTAATCCAAGCCCAAGTCCATTTGTTTTAATCTAAGTCCATTTTATTTTTAAATCCAAGCCCATCTCATTTTAACTCAAGTCCAAGCCCATTTATTTTAATCCAAGCCCAAGTCCATTTGTTTTAATCTAAGTCCACTTTATTTTTAAATCCAAGCCCATCTTATTTTAATTCAAGTCCAAGCCCATTAACATTAGTCCAAGTCCATTTATTTTAATCCAAGCCCAAGTCCATTTATTTTAGGTTAAAATTTTCCAGCAATGGCACACTTAAACAACCTATACCAAACCAGTCATAACTCCTTAAATATATATCTAAAACTCACGAACTTTTAAGGGGCGATATTAGACATATAGATCAACAACTTTCATTTTTTAAGTTTCCTCCAAAAAGCATTCTAAAATCCTTAAATAATTCACACAAGTTTCGGAACTAAATAAACTTTTCCAGTAGCTGGTCCATTCAACGACCCATACCAAATCAGTCATAAATCCTTACATACAGATCTAAAAATCATAAAATTTTATATACATAAATTAGACACATAGATGAACAACTTTCCTTCTTTAAGTTCTGCCCAAAAACCACTCTATGATCCCGAAATAAATCTCACAACTTTCGGAATGAAATATTTTTCCAGTAGAGGTTCCATCCGAACGATCCATACCAATTCAGTCATAACTCCATATATATATCTGTAAAAGTCACGAAATTTTAAAGGAACATAGTAGACACATATATCAACAACTTTCATTCTTTGTATTATTTCTAAAAATCACTCTAAGATGCCGAAATAAATCACACCAAGTTCTGGTTTTTCCACCCCTAAAATCCGAAAATCTTCTCTTAAAGCACATTTCTCAACACACATGCTTAACCATCCATCATCAAACATCAAGTGTTTAAAATCATCACAAATACCATAATCACATTTCACATGAATTAAATAACTCATAAAATAAACATGGAAAGCATAAACAAAGCAAGAAAAAAAATGAAACCTACTTACATTGGATTAACTTTCCTAAAATCTCTTTTGTTTCCTTTTAGTTTCCCCTTCTTTTTCCTTCCCTTTTTTCCTCTTTCTCCCCTCTCTTTGACTCTTTCTTTCTTGGTTTTAAGGCAGCTACGGGATGCACCAAAATGCATCCTTATCCCATTTTTTCTTACTTAAATATCTCACCTAATCTCATCCATTCAATGTTCATTACAAGTGTCAAAAGCTTGTGGTGAAATGCAAGGTAAATGTGGCTGAAATTAATGAAATGATGGGTGTAAATTTCAAGGAAGAAGAGGTGATGGTCAATGAAAATTTGTAGAAAGTAGGGGCCAAAATGTGATTAAATGAGGGTAATTAAATTAACTACATTTTCAGAATTCCTTTCGAAATTTCGACAATTAGCACTTTCTCTCTCTTTTTTTTTTAATTTATACTTATTCCATATAAAAGAAATTTTCTAACTAATTTACCCAATGTTTTTTTTTATATATATATAAATATTGACGTACACCCGTTACTCTCAACAAATACGTACATACCACATATTCCAAGTACATATGTTGACTCGGTTACGATTTTCACGTACGTAACCGATATACTATATATGTATATACGTACGAATATAAATATCTCGATACGTATATTTATACGATTAAGGATTTTACGAGGGTTACAACATCTATCAATATAATCTAAAGAATATATTTATGATTTAATATTATAATTATTTCTATTATATAGAAGCACGTCTAATCAATACAAGAAGCAACTATTAAGGAGGAACAGGAGGGTGATTCACCATCTCTAAACATCGACATTTTTAAGATATATTTGGATGATGTAGGAGGGAGAAGAAGCAAAGTGTATGGACTCGGATCATAAGCGTCCCGAGTATTACTCTCATTCCGGTGTCGCCTTCTCTTTTGTTATTTTGTGGTATCCTAGTGGTAATAGATAAGAGATTTCCGGCCGGTACAAAAGTAGGATGAATAGGATGGAGATTACCATCTAGCAACAAGTAAGTCAAGTTAGCACTCTATAAAGTTATTATAGGACCCGTAGCAGACTCGCATCTCTTCCGCTAACCTCCTCCCCTTCGACCTAGGAGTATGTCGTTCTTTCCAATGCATAACCGCCGAAAGATAATACAAGAGATGATAGCACTAGATTTCTTATTTTTTTTAAAAAAAAAGTTTTTAATATTTTTGTACACCTTAACGTATTTACGTTTTTATTTGATTTCAATTTATATTATTTTAATTTAATTAAATAATATACCGTGTTTTAATAAAGTGCTATTTTTAGTTGCTTCTTATTATCATTAACATTAAAGACTATTAATTTATATTAAAAATAAAAATAAAATTTCTTTCATTTAGCATGTATCTACAAGAATCTCTAGCGAAAACAATTTAGCGATGGAAATTCAGTCACTATTTAGCTACAAAAATAGTGAATTAGTGATGATTTTGTGACAAATATGAAACCCGAGAGACAATTGTTTACTATGCTTTAGCGACGAAAACTACAATGGTCGCTAAATAGTGATGGATTTAGCGATAAATCGCAAGACAATTTAGCAAGAACGAGTTAGCAACGGAATTTTTCAATTAGCGATGGTTTTGCGACAATTGTAAGACCGATAAGATGATTGCTTACTATGCTTTAGCAACGGAAGTTTTACGAATTAGCGACGGAAAAAATATTTCGTCGCTAAGAAATTAGCGATGATGACTTTTATTACAAAAAGTGTGTTGTTGCATATCCATTGGTAAGGCCAAATCACAACAGATTTTTACCATAGAGCGACAGAGACAGTGAATTGCTATTTTTTTATTTTCTTGTAGTAATACTTTACATGGTGGCCCATTAGTCATGATAGAAAAGGCAAAGCAATTACAATTTAGAAACTTTAAATAACGGACAATTGAACATTAACAAGATAGATTATATTAAAACGGTGATGGTAATGTTTTAGTATTAAATTTTTTACTTGGTAATTGGTAACTGTAGTAATTAAGTTTATACAGAAAAATGAATTAAAATAGGTACCAAAATTCCTATTTTAGTCATTAAATTGATAAAAATTCAATAATCAAAAATTTTGATACAGAATTCATGTTTTTATATTGAATTATGGATAGTTATGGATTACGAATATAGACATACTAATTAATTACCGCATACTACATGATTCTTAACGATAACACATAGTTCAAATTCTAAGAGGACAAAATAATCTTTGCCTAGGGAAGGCTCCCATCGCAAACTTACTCTTCTGATTAACATCTCCAGCAACAGCAGCTGTTTCTTTTGCTAGCTTGATGATGTTGCTTATACACATTAGGCCTTAACCCTGCACAGGCAGTGTTGGGGGAGCTGGCTGGTTCCACTCATCTTCACCTCTCAAAGTCTCTTTTGAGAAAAATCATGCCTAGTAATCGGCATTCATAGGCATCCTATAGATTAAGAGAGAACATTTTGAGCATGTACTATAACTTAAAAACAAACTTGATGTACATTTTCATGGATTTTCGATCAGTATAGGTTTTAATAGTTTTATGTACAGATGTTAATTAAGGATAAGCTTTTTAAATGATTGACCGCATACAATATTTTCCATGTGGAACTGTTATATACAAGGATTCTGAGTCTCATGGCGAGAGGAGCAGATTCGATTGTGTCTTGCTTATGCTAGTCTTTGTTCCAACTATGTTTCGTTGAGCGTCCCCTTCTTCACCAGGCTTAATCGATTGACCAACCGATCAAACTTTGAAAGGAAGGAATTGACATCAAGCTGTACAGGCAAGCCTTCTGCATTCTTCTTCTAAATTCCTGAGGTCGTCAGACCTAGCATCTCGAATACTGGCTGACCATATGTTGTTAAGATCAGAAAATAGAAGACTCAACGTTCATCCAACCCATGAGTAATCTCATGAATTTGCAGTGGAAAATCTGAAGAAAGGAGCTGACAAATATCTCATTCCTTGATAGTATCTGTCATCTTAGAGTAAAACGAAATTTCTAGATGATAGCAATCGATGAAAAAATGGGCATAAGCGGAATTACATTACAAGAAATCTTATCATTGAGAACGAGTCAGAATTCTACTTCGATCGTGCACATTCAGCTGATACCGCCAATAACTAGACTATGTTGACCTTGTGAACAAGCAGCTACCCACTTTTCCTTCGAAGCTAGAGCTAAAATCTCAATAGATGGGTTATATAGCATTTGCTAATAGCGGAGAAGAATCCAGTTGTTTGTAGAATTGGTTCTAATTCAAGGATATTATGCTTCTTCATGCGTGCTGTGCAGAAACCATTGCTTTAATGCCACTTTCAATAAGCAATTGGCAGAGGCTAATCATTGTTTCTAGATGTGCGAGAAACATCAGGAATCTGTTCTTCGTTCAACTGTTACTTCTTTCAGGCTCTCAGGAGCAGCTCTGACTTGCGTAGGCAAATCCACAAGCATGTTTGGAGGGGCAAAATACATGTGCAGTGACATCATACAGATGATAATACCCAAGAAAAGCTACAGCATGACAAGGAAAATAAAACAAGATTATTGATGGTATCAAAATCAACCACCATATGTCATAGGCAGAAAGGATTCTAATATTTGATGACCTGCAAGCGCATGAATACCTGCAAAGTAGGCTTGAAGCTAAAGAGGTACACAGACAAAACCATTGTTAGCAGCATTGCCATTGATGTAGAATACACCTGAGACCGGGAGACACAGAGCATAATATTTTAATGAAGGCACCTGAGGCTAAAGGACCTAAATTACAAGTAAAAAAACTAGACTTTCATACATCCTATAACACTGTGTGTCGCTTGGGGAAACCCCTGTTATGGAATTCTATAGCCCATGCATTATGGTGGCATGTAAAGATATTTTGTTAGAAACTGGAGCCTTGTGTTTTACCAGCATTCTTATGAGCATGACTATAGCAAACTTTGAGGTGTTAGTGAAAAATTACAATTAATAATGCTTGACCATCCTGTATATAATAAGGAAATGGCTGGTCTAGTTGCATGTAAAGCTGAAAAAACGAAGTTGTCATAAAGCCCTTTTTCATCATGGTTTCAGGCGGATTTGTGAATGAACATATATTATAAAATGATGACAAACAAGGGTAGCTTAGTGGAACTGGCCAGCACCCCCGCCAGGATCCATAGAGATCCTGCATCTGAGTCCTCCCTTGCCCTCTCCAGCTTGAAAATAAGGGGATATTATAGAATGATACTGAAGCGTGAAAATGAAAAATCAAGGATCATTCTAGTTTCTATCAATCTTTTCATAATTGTGTCAACAAAATTTTCTCATCATCCGCATCTATGAGACACAGACTGATGGATATTTTCATGTTTGTGTGCATGTGTGCATCCTCTGAAAGATATATGATGAGGAAACCATAAAAAGAGAATTTACCTTCACAATATTGTCAGCATACTTCATCAACCATGAAACCAACAAGCCAGTGGATCCAAGATTCAAAACAACCATCCAAGTTGTAATACTGTAGCCATTGAAAAGGCGTTGCCACCAAGATCCATTCTCATAGCCACCTCTGTAATCATCGAGAACAAGCCGAGCCAGGTTGAATATTGAGCCAAATCTGAAATGGAAGGAAATGCCTAAATCATCAACATAACGAATTTGATACTGTATTTTGCCAAGGAATGATTCCACCTTCTCTATTGCAAACAGCATGCAGATAAAGCAGGATCAGGTATATAAAGGGAGTCAGAGATAGGTCTGAGGGCTTGGAAAAAGATATCCAGGTCAAGTTTGCTACCACGACTACTCGTAGGCAACATTACTAAAATAATATTACGAAAAGGGAAAAGTCATGGAGTGGAGAAAAGGTACCTACGTATATAATTGTACATTTTGCCAGTACAAGCTATCATTGTTCTTCTTCATCAGAAACTCTGTGTAAACACCTGCTAGTGCTGATAGGCAAGCAGACAGTGTCCCCAACAAGTAGCCTTGGATTGGAGCTGCAAACAGAGAATCACAGGACACTTCTCCACAACCTTTAACCTACAATAAAAGAAAGAAAAGCATAAACAGTGTGCTTTTTTTCTTTCTTTTTGGTTATAGATCAAATGAATGGATTGAAAAGGAAACTTGACAAGAATTAGGATCATGAAAAAACTGCACTAAAACAAAGACAGTGATTACGGTTTTAAAACTTTAATCTCCATAGAAACTTCCAGTGCATAAGTAAAAAACGTAAGAACTAAATAAAGCATGAAGAGGAAAAATGCTAATTTAAATAACAGCACAGGCAATTCAAATAAACACCTGGCTTGTGGTTGTTCCAACAGCTAATAGAATAATTGCCATCCACTGCAGATTAGAGAGTCTCCTCCTCAGGAATAGCCTAAAGAATGAAGTATAGAGAAAGTGAAGAAAATCATCAATTAATTAACTACAGTGATACTAAATTCATTCCAAAAGACATCCAACTCGGAAAGTGAAAGATCAAAAGCATCATTTAAAAAAATTTGTACAAAATAGGCACCTGAATAATATCCCAGTGGTAACGATCTTTAAATTACCCATTATCTGATATGTGGATGTATCCACATAAGTCAGTGTAGCAAACTGAACATTGTTATGAATTAGATATATGATTGAAGGAACAACATATAAGCGCACACTCTTCCATTCGGTAGTCATCCTTGTTGACGGTGATATCCGACACTGTCTCCAAAGAAATAAACTAGAAAGCACCAGCTGTAGTTTAAATAAACAGAACATAAAAGAATGTCAATTTACATAAAACAAAACCGTCATTGCTCTGTTAAACAGTCTACTCAAGAAAGAAGACATGAGCCAAAAGTACCTTAAAAACTTCAGCAAGAAATGGTACAGTCGCATAGTCGTACAAATACTTTCCATTAGTTTGAGATAGAGTTGTCAAAATGCCCTATCAGTATATAAAGGATCGGTTAATTAATGTATTTGTTTCAGCATATTCTGAAGAACAAGCAATTTCTCTTCGAACACAGCACAGGACAGCATTTCAAAGCCAAAAAATTCCTCAGATACTCTCCACGTACACAACCATCAAATCCTCGATTTCTTTTATAAAAAAAAACAAAAAACAATTAAACTCGAAATAAATTCACTTAAATAATCATCCATCTTATTCAATCAATCACAAGTTTCTGCATTGATTTTTAATGGATAAATTCAATCACAAAACTTCCGATTTCGCTATAAATACATATCTCAACGTCATATTATTAAACTTTTTCTTAAAAAAAAACTTTTAATCACGCCTTAAATCACTTAAAACCGAAATGCCTAGTCTCTCTTGCCTTTCTTATAATAAATTCTCAACTAAGCCTCGAATCACATAATCCAAAATACTTAATGTCTCTAACATTTCTGGTACAGTGTTACTTTCACATTTTCATAATGAAGAAATCAAAAGCTATGATAGTGACTAAAGAACAATACCATTTGACTATTAAATCAAGGAATTGTAGAATCGAGATTCAAAACTTAAAGAGCAAAGAAAACTTTGATGGATCTATATTTGATGGAATTAGTTAGGGATTTGGAAGGAAGAGCGTGACTGACCTGAGAGCTGGTGAGAATCGTGAGAAGTACGGCAACAAAGTACCACTGCATCGTCGCCTTCCTCGATTTGCAGGCACTCTAGTCTCGACTCCCCTGCTTTCTTTTCTTTCCAGCTGTTTGTTACAGTAGTTGCTTTCGAATGATATGAGACATTACTATTTGAATTTAGTCTTTAAATTAAGAATATAATTACAATTACGTCCTCAAAGGTAGAAGTTTCGGTTTAATCTACAAATTAAGCAACTTTAAACTAAACTTCCTTCGCTGGTCGTAGCAGTTAACACTTAGCACAATTAAACATTACGGGCTTTGGGTTGTGTTTATTTGGAGAAATCTCTATTTTTTTATATTTATTTCGTATTTAAGAAAAAAAAACAATAAAAAATGATTTTCGATTAACAAAAAATGACAAAGTATTTTTTAAAAAGTAATTTTTTGAGTTTAAAAAAAAAAAAAACATTTTTCTCTTTTCACAAGATGTCTCGCTCTCGGTTTACCCACCTTTCTTTTCATATATTTTAACAATTTTTTTCTTTATCTCCTTTTAATTTAAAATATATCAAATTAATTTTTAATTATTTAATTATTTTTTCTATATTTCTACTAACATTTGATTTTTCGATTTATAAATACATTAAATATTTTTAAAAACCATTGTTACACCTTAAAATTATTTTTATAATAAATATTTTAATAATTTATCTCTATTTTTTTTTATCATTATCCCAAACACTACCTAAACTATACTTAAATGATCGAAAATAATTATTACAAGATTGCAGATCATTTGTAAAAAAATTAAAACTAATTAATTCATTAATAAATATATTATTTTTTTAATACTATTCATTTGTAACTAAACCAACAATTTATGACTAATTTTAATGAGTTTTAAAATTTTGTTGGTAATTATAATCAATAATTAGTTATAAATTATTTTAACATCAATCTTTTGAAACTAAATGAATAATTATCTATAAACAATATCTAATTACTCGTAAAACTATTTTTTTTATACTAAATTATCAGTTCAACTTAAAAAAAAAAATTCTTAATTAAATTACAAAATAACAATGCTATGATTACCTATAATTTTTTTACTAAATGTGAATATTGATTTGATTTTGTTCTAAATAATTTTGATGAATTAGTTTGATGGTTAAAAATGTATATTTTATTTTTTTTATTTTAAATCTTAGGATCAATATTTATAAAAATTTATTAAATATTTTTAAATGTATCTTATATTATGAAATTATGAATGTACCTTTTTAAAGTTTCTTCAAAACTTGTTAATGTAACAATCACATTCTATTTTTATATTTTAATTTTTTATATCAAATAAACGTTGGAATATATTTTTCAATAATTTTTTCATATGATTGCCAAACATCAAAAAATATTATAATTTTTTTAAAAATGGATTCTTCAAAACTATTTTTCCTATAAATATTGTTTTTTCATCAAATAAACGGGGCCTTGAATTCTGGAGTGGACCAACTGTTGTGCCGCTGTTGTTAAGAGGTTTTGCGTTTAGTTTGTTACCGGCTTTTGGGTCACTTTCTGTACCTAAAAAAGAAAGGTTTGTAAAATACTCTTTTGGAATAAAAATCAAGAAAAAAAATTTCCTCCAACTACTTCCGAAACGAAATATCATTATCAATTATCAATAGTTGAGTAGAAAAATTAAAATTATTAAATATCAAGATAAAAAAATAAAAAGTTATCGAAAATCACACTCCTCCTTTTTTTTTTTTTTCCTTTCCTTTGTTCATTATAAAAAGAAAAGAAATAGAAGAAACCTCCAAATGGGAGGGCCTCATTGGCCATCCTACTATTATATTTTCTCTTTAATACTGTATTTTTCTAAAAATACATTTATTTTGTAATGCAAGATTAATTTAAATAGATTTTTTCTTTAAACAAAAAAAATTGTTAAAAAATATTGATATGGCATTATAATTAATAAATTTTTTTAAATGTGTGAAAATTAGGAAATTATCATTTTCAAACACAAAAAGTAAAACTTAAGCTGCCTACATTCTGATCTTTATCTTAAGCAAAGAGAACAATGTTGGCGTGAAGAATCAAAACTTTTTATTTTTATTGTTATTTTATTTTATTTTTAATTCAAGCATTTCAATCAAATTGAACTTGGGGTCATAAATCATTTATTGTTCGTGGAAACTTTGCTCGGACATATGGCTCTTGGCGAGACAAATAAATTAAAATTGAAGATAATTATTATCAAAACCTTCGAAAATTCCGCTGGGATTTTTATTAATTTATTATTTTTAAAAGATTTCTTGCTTTTCAAGTCATTTTTCACTACTTGGTTAAGATTTTCAAAAGCATGGAAGAAGTCTACATTGACAAGTCAAGGTCTCATTTTTCACTACTTAATTAAGATTTTCGAAAGCATGGAAGAAGTCTGCATTAACAAGCCAAGGTCGTTTTCGAATAATTATTCGAATATATTGAAAATTATTAAATGATTTATAAATAATGTTTTTACTATATTGAGTATTGAGTTCGAAAAGGTCCTCCATTTTCATGCACATCTCTTTCTGCGTACTTGGAATCAGTCACGTAATTCTATTATTTATTTATTTCTGATAATGGATTTATATATGCTTCCAAAAAATATAGTAGAATCAAATTATAGCAATTGCTTTTAGACATGTTAAGAGAGGATGAATGTACGTGCGCCAATAGCTTAACTATTGGCGCTCCAAAAGTCCAAATTTTGTTTGTACCACTTGCAAATGTTCTTATAACAATTGGCACCGTCAAGGCAGCAAGTTATTGGATTATTTTATTTTTATAATCTTAGGTATTTTTGAATTAATTTACGCATTAATTGAAATTAAATTTTTTTTTCAAATAATCTCAAACGAATTTTTTATATCCGCATAATGTAATCAAAAAATAATTTTTTAAAATATTAATTTTAAAATTTAAACTCAAAAAATGAGAAGAAACAAATTAACCTTTCGAATGTACCTGGAACAACTAAATTATTGATCCAACAAAGCATTGCAGCAGCATTAACACTTTTAAATTTTCATGGACGATAAGAATGATAATTGATCGTGGAGGAACACTCACACTCCATGAATTCCTAATTTATAGCCATTGGGAAGCAACATGGACCTTTCGGTTGAAACATAAATTCATAACGAATTCTCAAAAAACAAGAAAATTATAATGCAGGCGTTTAAGCATGAATCCAACACACCGAGCTGCCATTAATTATCACATTAAGATTGACATCGTGGCCCCACGCCGTCACTTTTTAAACGGACGTGCCAGGCAATATCATTCCATTACACCCCATGTGGCAATAATACGTACTTTACGTTGGTTAGACGATCAAACACCTGATGACGGTTGCAAAACTTCAACCTCCTTCAGTCTATCACCTACCGCGTAAATCACGATAATGATCGATAAATAATAATAATTAGCATTTTTGTCCATAAAAATCCATCCCTAATTAACTTTCAAATAATTAATAACCATTTGATGGTTGATAATGTACAAGACATAATAGTTGAATCTATTACGAGACTGATCATATATATGTATATATAAAAACATAATGTTTTTTTATCAAATATGCAATCGGTCCATCTACGTATTAATTTTTTTCATTAAAAAAAAGTCAAATAATTATGTTATTTCAAAAACCAAATTAGATGAATATTTTAAGACATATAAAAATTAATAAATAACGAAAACATCACCGTTAGGTTTTATTTTGATGGATAATTTTACTTGAATTTTACCAAAAAGTTCATTGAGAAAGAAATGGTATTTTGATGGATTATATATATATATATATATATAATCTTGATAAATGAGCTTATTTGATTAAAAAATATAACGATAAATGAACTTAATTTTAATTTGTAGCTTATCAAAAACATTATTTAACAAAGAAGCATTATATTATTATTTTTTAGGACTAGGGAGGTTGTGTTGTTTTTCAGATCATCCTTTGCATGCTGGAACTAAATTTATTTTTCTGGTCTAATAAAAAATTGACCGAAACTAGAAAAGAGTTATGTAGATATTATATCTATCTGGGATCTGATTGCTGGCAGCCAAGAAAGGAAAGGAGTGTATTGGATTAAGGTAATCTCCATAGATTACTCCAAAATACTATTAATGCACAAATAAATAAATAAATGCAAAGAAGAAATATGAAAAAAGAACAAAAACGAAACTCGCGGGAAGTTATAAATAGGGAAAGGGAGGAAAAAATGGGAGACTTGTTTCCATAGAAACCGGGGCCAGTTCAGCGGTCAAGCCCGGTCAAGCCTGTTTGCTTATTGCTCTCTCTCTCTCTCTCTCTCTCTCTCTCCTTCAGTTTTGTAACAAAACTATGAAAAAAAGAAACAGTTTTTGCTTATCTTAGAGGAGTTAAGGAAGGAGACAAGTCACCTAGAACTTTCCGTTTCTTATTTTTGTTTTGTTTTGCAACTGGTTTTGTATTCTTCAGGTGCTTTTTGGGCCAGCTTTTGGGTTCCTTAACTGGTCAGTTTGCTTGTGATTTTCTGTTTGTCTGATTGTCTTTTTTTTGTGCGTGTGTTCTATTTTTTATTTTTTATTTTTTATTTTTTTTTGCCTTTTGGGATAAGTATCCTATAGAGATGGGTTCTTCATCTTTGATCAGATTGGAGAAGGGGCAATTGAATTCTTTGTTGGTTTGGCAGAATTTGATTGGAGTCATCATAAATCTTGATAGCTGGTTTGGTCAAGGTTGAGAAAGAAGAAGGTTTTTGGCTTCAGGTATGAATTTAATTAAGTCCCCTTGTTTTATTTCTTCCATTCATTCCTTGTATTGAAAACATCTTGTAAGATGAACTGGATGTTATAGTCTTGATTCTTGATTATTTTTTTTTTTTTATATGCAACATGGTCTGATGGTTCTCTGCTTCGTATTTTCTGTTGCAGGCCCTGTTCTTTTTAGTGCTGTTTGTTGGGAGTTTTGAAACCTGCCAGGCAATTTTTTTATCATTGCTTCGTCTCTGGTCAATTACCTTTCGTTCCATTTGGAGATTCAGATGGAACAATTCCGGCAGATAGGGGAAGTATTGGGAAGTTTGAAGGCTCTGATGATATTGCAAGATGATATTCAGATCAATCAGAAGCAGTGCTGTTTGCTGCTTAATATCTTCTGTTTGGCCTTTAACACGATTGCGGAGGAGATCAAGCAGAACCTGAAACTAGAAGAGAAGAACACCAAGTGGAAACCTCTTGAAGAGCCTTTGAGAGAGGTGTGCGGGGTATTTAAAGAAGGGGAACTTTATGTTAGGCGTTGCTTGGATAACAAAGATTGGTGGGGCAAAGCTATCAGCCTTCATCAGAATAAGGACTGTGTTGAGTTCCACATCCACAACTTGCTTAGCTGCTTTCCTGCTGTCATCGAAGCGATTGAGATTGCTGGAGAAATCTCAGGACTTGACCAGGAAGAGATGCAAAAGAAGAGGGTGATGCTGGTAAAAAAGTACGATAAGGGTTGGAGTGATCCGAAACTTTTCCAATGGTATTTTGGGAAGCAGTACTTGGTCCCTCGAGAAATTTATAGTCAGATAGAGAGAGCTATGAGAGAAGATCGATGGCTTCTTGTTGACGCGATCAAAGAGAAGAAAAAGGCAATGCCACCAGGAAAGATTGAGCATCGGCTTGGAGATCTTTTGCTGAAGAAGCTCAATGTACTAGCGCCGGCTAATGGCAAACTCCCACCAAGTTCAATTTTGTTAGGAGCAGAAGATTACCAAATGAGAAGAAGATTAGGAGGAAGCCAGTACAAGGAAATTCAATGGCTGGGGGAGAATTTTGCTCTGAGGCATTTCTTTCATGACCTTGGACCCTTGAATTCCGAGATCTCTATGCTGCTGTCCCTTTCCCATCCCAACATAGTGCAGTACCTCTGCGGGTTTTATGATGAAGAAAAGAAGGAATGTTTTCTTGTAATGGAATTGATGACCAGAGATTTTTTTTCTTACATAAAAGAGAACAGCAGTCCAAGGAAGCGGGTTCTGTTCCCTCTTCCTATCTTAGTTGATATTATGCTTCAGATTGCAAGAGGAATGGAATTTCTCCACTCACGGAAGATCTATGTGGGAGATTTGAATCCTAGCAATGTCTTTCTCAAACCCAGGAAATCCACAGAAGGTTATTTTCATGTGAAAGTCTCAGGGTTTGGTTTAACATCTGTTGAAAATCACTCTTCTCGGCATTCATCACCAGAGTCAAGTCCAGTTGATACTTGCATTTGGCATGCCCCAGAAGTTTTGGCAGAGCAAGAACAGGCAAGAAAGACCGGCACTAGTAAGTACACAGAGAAAGCAGACGTTTACAGCTTCGGGATGCTGTGTTTCCAGCTTTTGACAGGAAAACTTCCCTTTGAGGATGGGCATCTTCAAGGAGACCAGATGATAAAAAATATAAGAGCAGGAGAGCGGCCACTATTCCCATCCCTTTCACCAAAATACCTTGTAAACTTAACTAAGAAATGCTGGCATACCGAGCCACATCACCGCCCTACTTTCTCATCTGTTTGTAGGGTTCTGAGATACATCAAGAAGTTCCTTGTGATGAACCCTAATGATGGTCAGCCTTATATGCAGTCGCCACCAGTAGATTTTATTGACTTAGAAGCAGGGTTCTTAAAAAAGTGTCCAGGGGAGGCGACTTGCGATCCGCCCTCGGTGTCACAAATTCCATTTCAAATGTTTTCTTATAGGCTTATAGAGAAAGAAAAAACTTCTGTTAACATTAAATTTAAGAATTGTGACACAGTGAGTGAAGCAGCCTCAAATGGCTGGGATGAGAGTGCTTCTATAGTGGAGGATGCCGCCGCACCAGCAATTGATGTCAGGTCACTTACATCTGACATGAAGTCTGTTTGTTTTGATATGAAATCGATTGCGACTGAAGTTCCACACAAGAAAATCCCATCTGACTTGAGGTCAGTTTGTTCCGAGCCTGCTGAAAAGAAACTATTGTTGATAAAGAAACCAACCAGCGTGAAGGTCAGAAAAGTTCCAGGTAAGGTTTACCTTAACTCGCAAATTTCCTCTTGGATTCATCTTCATCTTCCTTCTAATTAGGTTTACTGCCTTTTATGATCTATAAGGGATTACAAGCAGAAGCAGCATTGCATTTGAACTAAAATAATGACATTTACGAATGTTGGGTCTGGTGATGCAGGAAAGCCAAAAGCCCTAACACCAGCGAAATCATCACCATGGACGCCACCAGGGCACAGTATGAAGACGAGAAGGGAGAATCAGAAACCATTATGCACGAGCACTATGAGCCCAATCAGCCGCAGATCACCTGGACAAGCTTCAGATCCTGAGAAACTATAGTTTCTGTCACCTTCCCAAAAGGAGTTGACAGCATACAGAATCAGATTTCGTTCTCCTCGTGTAGATTTGGTTCGAAAGTAGAACTAGCGTAAATTTGTTTTCCTTAGAAGGTTTTTGTGTTAGCTACCAAAAAACAAAACAAGAAGAAGAAAGCTGTGTTAGGATTTGAGCTTTTGCATTTATGCTCATAAACTGAATTTTGATAATCATGTAGTCTGATACTTTCAGGAGATAGGTTTAAATATTTTCCTTCCATGTTGTGTCAAATTTTAAAAAGCAGTATGAAACCATTCTATTTCCTACTGGGAAAATCAGGTGTTTTTCTTATTTCCTTCTGTACAAGACTTTAAGATTACTGTCAACATTGTCCTTGAAGTACTTCATTATGCCATCAGCGATGACAGAAATGCAAAAATTGAACCTGTTAGTTGTGACATATAACAACTGAAATAATATTTTTCAAAAACAACATTATCCTATACAATTTACCTTTTCTATAAAATTTACATGCTTCGATACTCACAGCATTCAATCCGTAGATACAACTCGATAAGGAATTTGATGTATTTGGTCTAAACGTCCACTTTGCCTCAAATCTGGCCCATTATTAAACAAGACTTAAAAACTCTTAAGTGTCCAATGCAGGTGCTTGCCAAAACTTTGAAGGGCTGCACCCCAATTCGCGAATGCCGAAATTGGTCAGACTCAGACCCCCTTATGATGACCAAAGTAACTTGTTGCATCACGATGCCTGATGCTGCCTCTGAGAATTTTATCTCAATCCAGCTCAGCTTAATACCACATTGATCTCAATCATTTTTGTTTTATATTTACAAGCAGGGTCCCCTGTTAAACAATATGATAATCCAGTGCTTTCACTGGCAAATATCTCAGAGCTGGTATCTGACCTTTCTTATCTGGAGATCTGGAATCAGAATTTGCTGCCCTAGGTGAAGAGCAGTAGTTCGGCCAACTGAAGCCCTTGTATCACTGAGCAAGCAGAGCAGATGACATTTGTGTTCTCAAAGATATTGCCAGGCAACTTTTCTGGTTTCGGTTTATGAATACGCATTCCAGAAAAGGCTCTGGGTCCCCATGCAACGAGGAGGCCAATGCAGTTTCTGATTGACCTCAGATGACTACTTTTGCTTCAAACCATTTGCAATACTTTCATACACCCACTTGAATTGGCAGCAACCACCATGTCTGATTTCCCTCTCCAGCAGACACTTGAAACAAACTGCCCATTGTCATCATCTGTCTCCTTTCCAGAAATAGGATCAATTGAGCCAAACTTGTGAGACGTGATTGGCATAGGTAGAGACCCATGGTAAGCATAAACCTGAAAGGAGACAGAACCACTTCAAGAAGTTAGAGTAGTTGTATTATGGTAAAAATGGTAGAGATGTTGTCTATGAATGCTGGGAACTCTATTCTTCTCTCTTTCATTTTACCCCTTTCAGTGATGAATTCTCATCCTCACTGATTATCAAGCCAATCATTCAGCCACAAGGAACTGAAGCCATACCTCATTTGTTTCTGAACCACATGCTATGTAACCATTGGCAACAGATAGACCCACAAAGTTCTACAGGAGCAAGAGATAAGAAGTTAAAGCCAACCCACGGGCAGAAAATAAAAAAAAAAGAAAGAAAGATAAAAGAAGTGCAAGAAGAAAATGTAACCTTCTCATTAGTGTGCCCACCAAGGGTTAAGCTGCAAGCACCAGTGGATGAACCACTAGAGCTGGTTTTATTGAGATCCCAAATCTTTAACGAATTGTCAGTGGATGCAGTAACCAGAGTTTCAGAGTCCAAGAATTTAACATAGCTCACAGCTTTGTCATGGCCAGCCAATACACACCAGGGGGTTCTAACGTTCCGAAGATCATAGCAATAGGTTCTGTAATCCGCAGACCCAAAGGCCAGTAAATGAGTAGAGTGAGAAGAGAACTGCACACAGCAAACATTTGCAATGTTCCTGATTGTGCTTATACTATTTTTCTGCAAAAAGGTTTAAACTGCATGAGCTTTTAAACAAATTACAGCAAGAATTTCAAAATTTCGAGCAGTAGCTAGAGCTACAAGAATGAAGAATAAACATCCAAAGTTAAAGAAACACCATGCAGCACTATGACATTTTAACACACATGGCACTAAATTGTGATCATTAATTTCAACATGTGCACATCATGCATAGAGACATTAATGAGGAAAATGCCGTCTTGTTGTCCTAGTTGAGCAAGTAATAGCTCAGATGACTTGCATCAATATAGCACATCTCGAATGCAAGTTTATGTTTAAAAAAAATAAGCATAACTCAATGAGATAATAAAACTGCAATTGATGTTTGTAAATTGTAAATTCAATGGCTTTCTATATACCAATAATGGTAACAATGGCTTTCCATATACCAATAACAGTAGCAATTCTGCCTAATAATTTCATCAGGATATTGGAGCGAAAGAAAAATGGGGAAAAGAAAATAGATTAAATAGTGGAAACATTCTTCTAAGTCTGGTTTTAGGACTCCCAAAAAAAAAAAAAAAAAAAAAAAAAGAGACAGGGAGAGCATGCCTCATTAATGCTCCACAGCTTCACAGAACAATCATCACTTCCACTGGCTAATTTTGTTGGATATACTTCAGAAAAGTCCACAGACCAAGCTCTCTTTTCATGCTCTTTATATTGAAAAACCCCTTGACCAGTATTCACATCCCATAGCTGGAATTCATCAAAGCAAATCAGGTAAAGAGCAGCATAGGGAATTTAAGAATACAACTAAAAGATCTAAAATGTATAATGGAAAATAGAAATAAGCAAGGAAATCTGAGCATACATAAAGATAGTAATTACAGTGTTTAAGAGAAGGAGAACCAATATGCATCAAGAAGTTGAGAAACCTCACCAAATACATAAATTAGCAACAATGTGATTTTCTTTTTTAAGCTGTCGTTTGAAAATTAGGTAGTGAGGATATTTAGGACTTGATTTTTGAGAAAAGAAGGCTCAAAGATGATTGCAGGGGACAATAATGAAAGTTGCAGTGAGAAAAATAAAGAATACGCCATTGGAATCCTTTTATAACCCACAGAAAATTCAGAAGCTGATGCAGAAAATTTGATATCCATGCCACAGGTATGACAAGGTTGTCCCACATCAGCTCGATCTTGATATTCACAGAAAGGTGTTTCTTAAATAGTAAAGAATCTAGCATGCAAGATATACACACCTTCACAACACCATCATAGCCAGTTGAAGCCAGATAGCTCTTGATGTAGCTGTTCCAGCAAATGCAGCTTAGCTTTGACTCATTAGACATTTCAATGACCGGATAATGAATATCAACAGAGTCATTAAAGAGTGAATTAAACTCAAATATCTTTATTTTCTTTGATACTCCAGCAGCAGCAAAATAGTCAGCATCACGGTCAAAACTCAAAGAACAAATAACATTTGCAGAATTGTTGAAGTCCCCAGTTCTTAGTAGCCCACGTACTTCAAACTTACTATAGCGAGCATACTTGCACAAACCATCAAAAAAGGATCCAAGGCAATCAGTGGTATTCTGTGTTTCTTCAGTCTCTTGTGCTAAATAACAGTTCTCACGATTTCTCAGTAAGTCCTTATCTTGGCGAGTGGTAGCATCAATCTCAGCAAGCTGGACTTTGGATCTCATGGATAAATAAGCACTTTCAAGCTGACTGATGTTGCTCATCAACCTCATGTCATTTGTCTTAAAATCAGGTGATACTTGAGAAACTGCCTCCAACCTGGAAGGTTCTTTATGCTCAGAGGTAGGTTGCCTTGCATTTATATAGTCATTCTCTAAGCAAGAATGGAGCAAGTGTTTCTTTGAGCAGTTTCTCTTACCAACCTCTTCAATATCAGTATCCAAGCATCTAATATCTTCCACTAACTTAGAGGCGTGCTTCTGCTTCAACTCCTTCAATGAAACAAGGAAATGCAACAATAGTTCTGATTCAGCATCATCTTGGTCAATAGAGGATGACAGTTCTTCTGCAGACACCTCTTGCAATCCATTAATCAATTCAGACTGTAGGATTTCCCTGCCACATACATGCAAAATAGAATGTCACACGAGAGTATTAGTTTTAAGTTTGAAGTTTAAACAATTTACACCAGAATATTGCATGATTTAGTAAACACCCATCCCAATAACAAAGACAAAATGTTTTACCATCAACTAAATGTACTAGTTTGGGAATGGATTAAAAAAAAGTATAAAATTCTTGAAATTCATTTCTCCTGAGAAAATCGATGACTGATTTGGGAATGGAGAAAAAAAAAGCATAAAATACTTAAAATTCATTTCTTATGAGAAAATCAAAGATTAATCCAAAGCATATTCTATTACATTTATGTCCCCACTTATGCCACAAACTGAGGCAACCGCAATTTCATCGCATATTTCATCCAAAATCTCGATAAGGTCCTCAGTCTTTAAAAGCGATTTTAATATCAACCTATTATAAGTGGTTCAATGTACCTGCTCCATCAACTTCCATTAGTAACACCATGACACACACAAGTCACAACCATCCAGCTTTCCTTTCATTTCTTTCTCACTCGCCAGGTTGAACAAAAATCTCCACAGTTCACTAAGGTCCATAAAACCCATTTACTCCATTAGATGTGAACTTAAACTTCATGCCTTTAACACCACCAACAAGATGCAAGGGTAGACAACATATGTACGATATGAATTCAGTGTGAGAGACAGTTCAAACAAAGCTTTGGGAGATCTAATGTTGGTGAGGGAGTGTGAGACAAGAGCTTCAACGATTTAGTCTCCCGTTCATTCGGAAAAGCACAAAATATGGCTTTGAGGCATTTTTTGGGGCAAGAGGTTAGCTTTCCATGGATGTAAATATTGGGTTAATAAAGAAATGAACAGAAATTAAAAAGAAACTAAAGAAAAATAACACATGAGGGAGCACACTTAACTACTTGAAAAATTATAAGGTTGGTACTGAAACTTCCAAAGTGCTTGGACCACATTGAGTTTAAGGCAAACTCTCACAATCAAATTTAAATCTTGCCACAACTTAACAACTCTTATAACTTAATTTATTTTTAGTCCTCTAATAAATTAAGTGCCAAAACTATTGATAAATGGAATGTCATGATTCTAAGGTCTTCATATCAAGTACTATTCAAAACTTTTACAAAGTTAAAACAAGTTAGGATTACCATGTAGTTGGACGTGAAGAAGGTTCGGGATGAAGTAGCCAAAGGCAGAATCCAGCTTCCTTTGGATTCTCTGATAGAAATCGTGGAGGAAGAATCCTGTGACGAAGATCTGACATTGCTGTCGCATGTGCTCTGTCAGAGTCAAAACGACCAAGCAACTGAAAGAAACAGCCTAATTAATCATGTAAAATAAAAATTTTCGATCCAAACCCATAAATCTAAACAAAATAAACAAACACAGAGAGAATGACAAACAAAAATAAGCATGAAGCTGATAGGTTTATCTAGCCAACAAAAGAATACTACTGCTACTAAACTTGGATAATAGCAGCAATTTCATGGTTTTAATTTCTACTACATAGGGCAGAAAAATCTTCTCAGCTTGTGAATCACCAACCCTTAAAGAGCACCAACAATTATACTTGTTATGGACAAGAAGCATTTGAGAAAAGGGATTGAACAACAAACAAAAGAGTTTTTTATTACACAAAAGGAAGTGCCAGCATTCAAGACTCATGAAAATGTGCATTTATAAGAAATAAAATGCGTTTAGAAAACATTTGTAAGTGGAAATAAATTCGGCACCATGGTAAATCAAATTAGCAATCGGAGTCATCATACAAATGAAATAGATATTTCTTTAATACCATTTATCAAATAATTAAGAATGACCAATATCATAAAAGTAGAGCGAGACAAGATGAGAAATAACATCTCCACACCTCAAATAGCAGAATTCCAAGACCATAAATATTTGATGCAATCCTGCAGATCCCCTCACTGAGCTCCTCGGGACATGTATACCATTTCTCTTCCAACTGGTCGCTAATAGATGTCAACTGTCGTTGGCCTGTTTTAGACAGTTGATGGCTGCTGGACTTGGCCTGAATTCCATATTCTGCATTACAGTTATGTTCAGTAGCTTCATTTAGAGAATCTAGTGAAACAGTTCCATTGATGCCCCCGGCACTTGTAGTTTCAATTTTCAAATTATATTTCGCAGAGAACTGAGGCCAGCGACTGATATAGTTCATGCTCTCACTGAACTTCTGCTTCTTTGTGAATGCAGCAACAGAAGAAAACATTCCTTGTTCTAACAGCCTTCTCCTGACCACATGATTGTCAGAGCAGGGTGTATCTTGACCCGTCACACTTTCAACCATATCTCTACAGACAGCTGAACCAATATATTTAACCCGATTCGATTGCAACAATTTGAAGCTAGATGGCCGCAAGTCAGGCAAGGCAACTCCTTGAGAGTGAGAATAATCCACTAGATCAACAATTTGTCTAAATATATGCAAGCACTCAAGTTTATTCACTTTGTGCCGTCCAGCATTCAGCCATTCCCTCAAACTCACTCCATCATGATCAGAACCACCAGGCCTTGGCCCAGCAATACCATACGAAGAAGGCATCATCGTAGTTTTAGCACTCAAGTTCAAAGGAGTATCAGAAGCTGCCAAAGCACTACCAGCTGCCCTTTCATTATTCTGGTCTCTTGACTGAAGTTTCAAGTTATCATGTGGTGGCCCTCTATAAACAATCCCCTTACCTTTCAAGGTGTTTTTGACATAAAACTCAGAGAATCCTGATTTCGATAGAATCTTTGTACGGATACTAGCATGCGAGCTCAACCCTTTGAAGTCAGTATGTGCCAATTGTTCCGAGACTTCATTTCTTTGATTGCTCAAGGTTTTTTGAACCAAAACGTCAGGTGAAAATGAGTGCTGCACATCTAGCATTGCTTGACCACTGTCCCTATACATGGCATTATTTCGTGAAATCCCAGTTACCGATCCCCCTCCAAGTTGATAAAGATGCGGCCACTGACTCTGCCTAGTTTGTATCCTTTCCCTGTTTTTTGATGTACCAACAATGGCTAAGTTTGAAGCATCAAAATTTCTCACCATTAATTCTTCAACCATGTTCCCAGCATCATCCATAGAGCGAGGGCTAGAACATGGCTGTTCGGACAAATCTATAGGGCTTGCACTCCTATTTCCATTCTTACCTTCCAATATATCGGCAAGTACATGAAATGAGCTCTCAGGATAATCACCCACACCCGCTACATCCATTTCACGAGATTCCAACAAGTTGGCGCTTTCAGGTGGTTTCACGGAATACTCAATCTCTTTACCTCGGAGGTGTGCCTCCTCCGCCATGTCCATTGAAGCCACTTCATCACCCAATCCTTCATCCATACCACTCTATAATGCATTCATCTAGCAATGTAAACAGGACTTGTTTTCAGTCGAACATTCAGTAACCACACACCTATCATCAATTTTACTAGATTTGACAAGATAAAAAGCAATGACATCAATTTACTACACTTAAAGTTCAAAAATTTGAGCATAAATCACCAGATAATTCCAAACCATGAAACTTTAGCTATAATCTTCACTTCCTTGCTAAAATAAAATAAAATCAACAAACATTCTCTAGAATAATCGACGCTACAAAAATCTAACAGCAACCCATAATCCAAGAGGTTCAAAACTTCAACAAAATGAAAGCCTAGCAAAGCTCTCTATCTGGAAGCTAAAATTCTAAATGCTAGAGTTGAAACAAATTGTCAAATAATCAAAATTACCAAATTCTAACCAATGAAAAGCCTAGCAATGAAAGCCCAGCAAAACTCTATTTTGAAGCTAAGAATCATTAAACACATGATACGAGACAATAATTTTAAAAATAATCAAAATTACCAAATTCCAACGGCAACCCAGAATCCAAAAAGTTCAAAACTTTCACAAAATGAAAACCAGCAGCAGTCATCAAACAAGCTAGTAAAAACCCTTTGACAGATAAGAATCAGTAAATGCAAGAAATGAAACAAACTTAACCAAATAAAAATCCATACTCCACAAAACTTAGCTATAAACTTCACTTCCTTATCAAAACTAAAATATCAAAGAACTTTTAAAAAAAAAAAATCAAAATTTCCAAATTCTAACAGCAACCCAGAGTCCAAAAAGTTCCCAACTTTAACAAAATGAAAGCCTAGCAAAACTTGCTTGGCAACTAAGAATCAGAGAATTCAATACAAACACAAATTTAACCAAATGATTACTTCTCCAAGTCCCAAAAAAACCCCACAAAATGTTATCTTTGATATCTCTTAATTTCTTAGCAAGCAAACAGGTACTAAATTGAAAAGGATAACCAAATGCATAGCCAATCCAAAAAAAAAAAAAAAAAAGAACGAAAAGAAAAGACTTACCTCCATCAAATTTGGAATGAAATAGAGCAATTGAATTCTTTCAAGTAGAAGGTCAAAGGTGGCAATTTGTAGACCTCGAAAAAAACCCTAGAAGGAAGTAATAAGTGATAATAGGAGATTGCCTAGCCTGCGATGGAAATGAAATATCTCTCTCTACTTTTGCTACTTCAAATTTCGGATAAATTGTAACAGTATATATAAATTAAGAACTCTATATATATATATATATATAAAAGATATTTTGGTGTGTTTAATTAGCTTTTAATTTAATAATTATGTTTTATATTTTTATTTTATTCTCCGTGCAGGTCTATGCAAGGAAGGTTCAATCGGCCAGGAGAAAGGGTGGCCAGTTATTTTTCTTCAGGGAATTATTTAATTATTTAGTTGATAATTGATAATTCTAGTTATTTGAAATAGCATTATACATTGTTGTATTTACTAGAATGCCATTCTGGAGTCTGGATCCTAGCTGGCTTCTTTGCTGTTTTTTTCTGTCCTCGTAATACAAGTAATAATTAATTAGTTTTCTTACTGATTTAAATATTAATTGAGTCTCGATGCTGAATCAATTTATTTAATACATTGTCTCTACTAATGATAGAACGCTGACAGTGTTAAGTAAATTGCATAACTAAGTGATTTTTTGACCTCGTTGAACCAATTAGCTATCTCCTTTCCTTTTATTACACAAAGTATTTATTGAAATTAGAAGAAAATTTTTAATTTTTATTTTAATTTTAATAAAAAAATTGGTGATATTTTTTTAAATTTCTTTCTAATTTCAATAAATACTCTCTATCATAAAAAAATATTTTCAAACAAAATTTTAATTTCAATAAATGCTTTCTGTAATAAAAATTGATGATGAATTTTACAAAAAAAATGTAATTGCAATAAATGCTTTTTGTAATAAAAAAGATAATGATGCATCTTTATTTTTTTCTTTTAATTTTTTTTCTAACTTCAATAAATACTTTGTGTAGCAAAAACATCGTTGATGATTTTTTTAAATTTCTTTCTAATTTCAATAAATACCCTCTATAATAAAAAAATATTTTTCAAACAAAAATTCTAATTTCAATAAATGCTTTCTATAATAAAAATTGATGATGAATTTAAAAAATATATATAATTGCAGTAAATGCTTTTTTTGTAATAAAAATAATGATGAATCTTTAATTTTATTTTTTTGTTGATTTTTTTCTAATTGCAATAAATACTTTGTGTGAGAAAAATAATTTTCAAACAAAATACTAATTTTAATAAATGTTTTTTGGCAATAAAAATTGGTGATAAATCGTTAAATTTTCTTTTCTAATTTAAATATTGCTTTTTGTAATAAAAAAATGGCATCTTTAGTTTAGTTTTTTTTTCATTTCAAATTCTTTATTTCTAATTTCAATCAATACTTTTTGTAATAAAAAATAATTTTAAAAAATACTAATTTCAATAAATGCTTTATAGAGCAAAAAAAAATGGTGATGAATCTTTATTTTTTATAATTTCAATAGGTCATTTTTTAAAATAAAAATAAAAAGAAAAAGATAATCAACAAGATCAACGGACATATGTCATTTAAGTATGCAATTTACTTAGCATAATCAACGATGTCACTAATAGAGGGTCAACATTAAACAAACAAAGATCCAATTAATATTTAAATTAATAAAATATTTGATTAATCAATTATTTATTGCATAGAAACCGTTTAGATCGTTAACTCATTTTTCGCTCAATCTAATCGAAACCGTATTGATGGCTCAAGTATCAAAATTTAAATTAACAAGATTGGCCACCTAAATGCAACTTTGTTTAAGAATTTAAAATTCCAACTTCATTATGTTATAAATGCAATTTTAGCACGATGTTATGTTTTTGAATTACGTTGCTTTGTGAGATTGCAAGTAATAATGATGTGAATTAAGGTTTTTTTAAAATAGTTTTTCACTAATTAAATATTGAAAAATTACTCTCTTTTTTTCCTAATAATCTAGTTCTTTTTTTTTTTTTTAATTAAAAGAAGAGGCATAGTTCTAAATAGACTAGCTTATGTTACACATTCTTAGAGTTACAACTCTACAAATATCTTTTAAAAGAAGCCTAACACAAGCCAAACCAGGTAGTAGGAAAATAAGAAATACCAAATGGAAGGGAGTAGGCATGGAAAGCAAGCCAATCCGTTGCACATTTGGCCTCCCTAAAGGTATGAGACACACGAATTATCCAAGGTCTTTAGATTAGCTTGCAAATATTGTGAATCAACCAATAATAAATTCCTTAGCTACCATCATTAGAATGTAACAATTAAGCTACCATTATGGAGTCGGTTTCTAGCTAAACTCATTTAAAGTCTACATTTCATGTTAACTCTAAACCAACAATAATGCCTCATAACTCTGTGAATAAAACGGAATAGACTCGTATGTGATAAGAGAAATCATGTAACCAATACTTGCATTATCACGAATGAGCTCTCCTATTATAAAAATGTCAAGCTGAATTATGGAGTGCACCATCGGTATTAAGTTTAATCCGACTTAATTGAGGTTTGAGCTAACCTAAATAAGTCTCATGCTTGTTTACTTTTGATCTATCCAAACGTGAAACCATCTCCATACTAGAAACAATTTGGCTTGTGTAAGAGAAAATCACATGAAAAAGGTTAGATAGGATACATAAAACTTTACGAAAAGGTTTTCTATTGCACCATGACCACAACATCCAATAATAAGTTCTTAACTAGGTGCTCTAAAAAATCGCTCCAAATGTTGGCATATTAGTACACTAAAGATTAGACCAAAACCAATCCTAAATATTTAAGAAAAAAGAAGTTATGATTAACCTATGGTGCACTACAAGACCTCTAGATGGATTGAGCCACTAAACGAGTATCTAAGAACTCGAAGAATTGTTTCGAAACGACGATAACAATGTGGGCAAAAAGCTTCATTTGAAAGCCCCCTATATAGTCTCAACTCATTAGTTAGCGAGTCTTCGGTGTATGGCCAATCACAGGAAAGTTCGAATCCTTTAAGGACCCTTCCAATGCTAAACTAAGTCTCATTTACCCATTGAAACGAGTTGTGGCCAAAGTAAGGATAAACATATAGGCTGATTTGGTGAAGAATAGACTAGTGCTTGTGTGATTCCAACATGGCATGTCATTAGTATCATTGTCTAAATAAAAAGAATACATGCAATTCTCAAACAAATGGCATTAGGTAGGAATAACATGATCTTATCCCACATTCATTACCCATCGGGAGTGATATAGTTTTTAATATAATGGTTTAACATGTCATTCGAATGCTTTAAATTGTATAATCACATAAAGGGCCTAAGGCACCCAAGTATCTATCCAAAATCTAATTCGAGTGTCATTACCAATTCACCAACCAATGCCGCCACACACTTGCTACCATACTCAAGATAAACTTCTCCATAGATTAGAAGAACCATTACGAGATATAAATATAGGTATTAGTAAATTCGGATATAAGAATTACCTAAGATAATTTCCCACCCAACATTCATAAGTAAGGCGAGTATTCACATCTATTAACTTTCTCAATCCAAAGCCTCCATCCATCTTTGGTTGGCAAACCCTATCCTAAGAAATTAGGTCGATTTTTTGCTGAATATCAAAGTTTCCCTAAACAAAATTACTACAAACTTTCTTAATGACATGGATAGTAATAATAGGTAACCTAATAGTCTATATGTTGTAAATAAGAAAGGTGAACAAAATCGATCAAGTTAAGGTTACTCTACCCATAAGAGAGAGATAATGACACTGCTAACCGGAAAGTCTCCTCATAACCTTGTCCACCATATGCTCATATGTGGCCATATTAACCCTTTTGAGATGGAGAGGAACATCAAAATAATGACCGATTAAATGAAAGTAAAACAACTAACGAATAATCCTAGCCACTGCCATTTGAAATATTTATACTATAAAACATCCTTGTTTAT